GCAGACTGGCATCGTCTGCCTGTCTTTTCCCGTCTGTTGCTGACTGTTTTCATTAGGAACAGCAGCATAAATGAACTGCTCCAGGTGGGCAGAAATGCTTCCAGCCTGTCTGAGTGGGCACATTTCTCGCGGCTGTGGCACGCCACTGGCAACGTGTTGACCACCAAATGGAACCTAACAGAAGTGGGTGAGTATGAGAAGCTCCTGGAAATTATGAAGAAGGCTCTAATTCTTGTGGACTTCGGGGTAGCTCCTGGAAAAACTTTAGCACATCAGATCTTTCATAATTCCACTGGAGGAACTGAATCCTCAGATCTGAATTATTTGTATAGTTCATTAAAACTCTTACTCAATTCAACTTCTGACACAAACAGCACGCTGGTCTTGGACAGAATGTTTCAAGAAATACTCCCACTGAACGAAGTTGGTGGTGAAGGATTGTTCTACCCTAATCCCTATGGAGAAGAAAATCAAGATATTCTAACTATGGCTGCAGTGATTTGGAATCAGACGATTTTAAACAGGACTTATTTTAATACAGAGAAAGCATGGGAGGTTATCAAAATGATTGCACTTCATGCAATCTCGCTTGAAGACGTTGAAAATTATCTCAGCACAAATGAAAAAGAGTCATCATTATTTTCTGACTTCTTGTTGACCCCTGTAACTTCTGAAAATTTTGCAGAACAGCTCTTGTCCCTTGAGCAGCTTCTTGCTGCCATGGCAAAGGTGAATACCAGTGATCATTATCTGCTGATCTCTTCCTTATCAAAGCTAATGCAGAACCTCCAGAGTTCCCCTCATGGAAGGCAGGGAAATGAACTTCGTGCTTTCTGGCATATTGCTGAAGTGCTCCAGACCATGAACTGGAACAGTACAGACACTCTCACTTCCCAGTCATTTCTAGATATGCTGCAAAATTTGTTCAGTACTATGAAAAATGATACCTATCTTCCTTTCAGCAAGGAACTGAAGGACCTGATCAACTTTACATCCTTCATGTCTGAGCTCTATGGTGAAAAAGGAGACAACATCTCCATATACTTGCAGGTTGTGCAAAGGAGCATCTTGATTTTAAAAGATTTACTGAAAAGTTATAATATCAGTGAGCTTGAACCTATAAACCTATTATTGGATTCTTACAGTAACTATACCAAGAGACTGATTGAAATATGGAGAACAGGAATGGAAGTCCTTCATGAAACAAACTTAAACAAAACGTTTGAAGAAAAAATGGACATTGTCTATAATTTCTCACATTTCCTGCTGCAGAAGGACTTCATTAAGTCTTCCTTTGCTTCATTAGAAGCAAAAATTTGGCACTTTTTGCATGTAGCTTTGAGTCCTTTCCTTGAGAGCAGTGACAGTGATTTTGGGACACTCCAAAACTGCTCTGCTCAGGCCGTGCTCCACCTGACTCTCGAGATGCTGTTTGAAAATACCACTCTAAGTGAGTCCTTAGCAGGGAGCCCCTGCAAACCCCTCTTTGATTCTGTGGGCATGGAGGGTGGAATGATGCGCAATGACACCTTTAAAGAAATGATCCAGCTTGCCATAACAAACCTGAAACTGTCTCCAGAGTTTGCTGCTGTTTACAAGAACAGCAGTGAACGCTTTTCTAAGGAGCTGTTGTGCATCATCCAATCTCTGCAGTTTTCTGTGCGTTTCCTTTCCAAATTAAACGCTGTCTCTGAGCTGGAAAACTCCTGGGTACAGGAGAAGGTGAGAGCTCTGACTGCTGTGACGGAGGGGCTGCTGCAGAGCAATGCCTCCTGCCCCCTCATCGCCGTGCAAGATGTGGATGACGTGCTCCCGTCTCAGCTTCTGGACATGCTCATTCCTTTCATGCTGAATGAAACAGTACTGAACCCCTTAAATTTCTCTGGCAACTTAGCAGGCTGGAATAACTTGTCCACACTCTTCACTGTGGTGCAGGATGAGCTCCACATTAACGACCTGCTGCAGAGACTCCAAGACATCTTCAACCTCACCCAGTGGAGTTCTTACTCAAGTGTTTGGGATACGGTTGACAGCTTCCTAAACATCAAAAGGAATATTACTGAAGCAGCTGCCTTTGCAAAGTTGTTGGAAGCAGTGGCAAACAACTCTGCCAATGAAGTTTCAGCTCTAGAAATCATAGAAGCTGGTCACTACATTCTCAAGAGGCTGAACTTCTCTGATCTGCTAAATGAGTTCAATATAAATTCCAGTTCGTCTTTTCTCTCCAACAAAACTAATTTTGATGCTGTGATTGATATTGCCGCTCATTACTTCATTGACCTGGCAGAAACTCTGTACAACAAGACCCTGCCTTGGACTCAGAGTGACCAAACTCTGTCGCCAACCAGTTTGATCACACAGTGAGTTCACTTTTTGGGTATTGTAATCAGATTTGTGGGTGGTGACCACCATTCTCATTCCAGCATATAAAACATAGTATTTCCCACCAGTGGGTCAATATAAGCCTGAAATCACCCTAATTTAGGACACTAGGTCTAATGTGGGTTAAATTGAAGAAGAGGAAATTTCTCCTTGAACTGAATATACAACTAGAAGTGAGACTTCCAAAATTTCCTACATTGGCATGTTCATGGTGGAGGCAGAATGCTGTACGAGACTTGCCACCAGTAGTAAACTCTTCAGAAACCCCTTCTTTGTGGTACAAGTCTTTAAATTTTGATTCTCAGTCTCCCCTAGGCATGCCTTTCCATCTGTATCTTGCATCCACAGTGAACCTTTCAAGTGTGTTTTCTTGTACATATGGTTTGAGAGTGAATGACAGCTTTGGGAGATAACAACAAAAAGAAATGAAGAAATAAAATTGGGAGGGTACTCACTAAGGAGATGTTATGGGAGACACATGGCTTCATCTGGAATTCTCATTTACACTGGCAGGGAACAGCATCTGCACAACTGACAGGTTGCTCACTAATGCCTTTGTTTCTGAAAGAGAAGCTCATTTAAAATCCTGTCTTATTTTTCAGATTTCTGTTTTTGGAATTTGAAAAGACCATCTTACAGGTGACAATGAATAACAGCTATAACCCTTACCTGATGTGTTTAATGAATGCCACTGAAGTTGAAGACGACAAATTGACAGGTAATCATGATTTCATTAATGTTGCTGGGACCTCAGCTGGAATACGTTGTGCCTCTCTTTTCAATGTGTTTTGTGTAATGACAGGAAGAAATTGTGCTACGTATTTTTTATCTGCTGGGAATTAGCTGGAGCTGTGAGGCTTCGAGAAGCCAGACTCCTTTTCTTTTGAGTTATGTCACATTGTGGATATAGGTTTTCCATCCAACTCTATCCAAAAGGCACATCTACTCTTTGCTGTGCGATGACAGGTTGCTGACACTCCGGTAAAGAAATCTTACAAATGGAAACCAATATTCCCTTCACAGCTTTATGTACCTATAAGATGACAGCAGTCATTTTTGAGAGTTAGCGTGGTATTTCGTATAGATAATCATCATATGTTCTTACTGTAAAGCCTGAGAGGTTTATCTGCTCACAGAATAGAGATACCAGATGTGCTCTGAAGGACACTGTCAAAAGTCCTGTTGCCAGTGTGGATTTCTTTAGGACCAGAGCACCTACTTGGGACGGATCCATTATAATCCAGATTGCAACCCAGATCTTGGTCTGTGATTTCAGAGCTCTTGAGCCTTGTGGAAAACAGCAATGCTCAATAGGCCTCAGAATAAAAGTGCAAATATTCCCATCTGTGAAGTTCCTGCAAGTCTAGCATTTTTGTCTCAAGTAACTTTTGTTTTCTTTCTTGCACAGAAAACATCACACTGCTTTTGAAGCAAACTCACCTGAAAAAGAACTCTTTTATGCAAAATAATACCTCTGAGAAACATTCATCCATACCAGAGCTCCTGAAGCTAAAAGTGAGTCTGCTTAAAATGCTGACTTGAAGGACATCCTGCAGTGATACATGAATGTGCAATAGAGGTTTTGAAAAACAGTGTATGGGGGAAAAAAAGCTTAAAAGAGTAGCTGATAAAAACTAGGACTGTAACTTTTTTTTTCTGCCCGATGCCTATATTTAAAGGTCATCATTAAACTGCAGTGAGGAATTTTTTCTTACATGAGTACTTATGCAGCGTACACCCATTTTTCTGAGAAGGTAGAGGTGTCACTATCCTCCCAGTCTGTGGGATAGAATGGCTTCCATTTTCTGCCAGCCATCCCAAAAGGATGAGTACTTCAGAGGTTGCCAGTGGCAGCATATTCCACATCAATCGGTGCACCGGTAGTTTTAAAGTTCGATATATCGAGACTTAACAAAACACCTTCCAGACCTGAGATTGTTCTCAGCTTCATTTGAGGTGTAGGGAGTAGTCCTCAAAGGCACAAATAGCAGTTAGATACCTCTGCCTGCTGAAAATTAGTGGAATCGGGCATACCCAATTGGCAGTTACTTGGCACAACTGACTTAATTACCACTGTGCCTCAGGAGCAATACCTACACCAGTATGGCTGTAGCCCAAGTCTCCACATGCTCCCTTTGCCCTAGATATCTCACACCACCGTAGTGGTTTCTGCGATTAAGCACCAAAGCAATATTGATTCATGCATTTCCCACACCAGCTTTAGATTTGGCAGTGCCTCATTTGTATAAAATGCTTCTTACACCACACAGACATGACTGCACTAATAGCATGCATGCATTTTATCTATTTCTCCCTATGAGTAACAGAATTGAATTTAAAAGTATTTTTAAATAAAGATAACAGTATGCAATGCTGTTGCTGGTTAATATATCCATAACAATAGTACAGTGAGCCTTAGTGTGACAGGTACTTAAAGGCACAAAACATAAAACAGCTCTTGCCATAAGAGACTGATAATGTAAATAATGGTGTCAGACAAGAGGGAAGCCCGTAACAGCAGAGTAGGCAAAGGATTATAATTTTACATGGGCTGGCAGATGCGTAAATTCTGACTTCTAGCCAACTCTCTTTTGTAGGCTGTAGTAGAGTTGACCAGGTGGTATGTGAAAGGCTAAACCTGTTGCACAAGGTAGATTTATTTGGTCTATGGCAAGATTGATTAGTCAACAGGTAAGTCCAAATGGAGTATGGTTGTGTAGGCATGTTGGGCACGGAAATGATACGTTAAGACTTGTAAGGTTTATTAGATCCTGTGCAATGTTGTGTAGCCAGATCTGCTGCATGCTCATGTAGGAGTGATTGCTAAAAAGTGTTCTGTTGGAGACCTCTCAAATGAACTGAAACATATATTAAAATTTTAATCCTAAAGTAAAACAGAGAGGGACCGCTAGACTCTTTAAAACTTGCCTTTTATAATTCTGTCATCTAACTGGTGTTTGTGCTTTTGTCTTCCTTTTCAAAATTTCCTTTGAAGATATCTCGCCTCCGGGATCTGACAACGCTTCTTTGTGACTATGAGAGCTTTAAGTCAATACAGAATGTTTGCCATCTTCCTGACGTTAGCTTTGGAGAACTGTGTGAACAAAGTCAATCTCACGAGCAGCTCCTCCATGCTATTGAACTGAGCAATCAAGTTGTGACCAATGTACTGAATCATAAAAGAATCTCCCAAGAGCTTCAAAATATACTGATTGGGGATGCCACGAACATCCAGACGCAAATGAAGTGGTGAGGCTCTCCGTCTGAGTTAAACCGCTTTAGTATTCTGTTTATGAAATGATGAAATATCTTCTTGCCTTTTTTTTCATATCCCAAATTTTGTTACTTGTTCTATTTTTTTTTGATTTAGGTTTCAGGAGAACATACCAGAAGTTGCTTTCTTTCAAGAGGTTCCTCAGTATGTGACTACTTTGAATTCCATATTGAACATCACTGAGAATTTAACAGATTCTAGCAAGCAAGGTAGTTTTCTGTATTTGCTTTACAATGTTCGTAAACTTCTTCACTGGTACTGTACTTTCTGATGGAAATTCCCAGACTTGCTTAGTTGCCAGGAAGAAACAATATTAATGAAATAACCATACGCTATGTCCCATGTCCTTGGGATCCTTTATCTAGGGTAATTTGAGAGCCTGTTCTAGACCACCCTTTGTTTTCTGTACAGCCCGAACAGTCCGATGTGCTGCAAGTCTCAAGTCTTTCTATTTGAGCAGTTTTTTGCTATCACTGTCAACAAATCAAACTGTATAACCTAGTATATATGACTATTTTGCAAGGTTGGGTTTTTTTCCTATCAGCGATGTTGTACCACATATACATACTTCACCTAAGGTCCTCTCTGTGTGCTTGAGATTGCTATATGACATCAGTTGTTCTTGGATTGTTCTTTACAGAAAAGTTAAGAAATGTATTAAAAAATGTGGACCAACTGAAAGCGGATCTCAGAAACATAACACGAATATCCACAGCCAGTATTGATGCTCTTCTGGAAGCATCTCTCCCAGAAAACAGCAGTCAGGTAAGTTTGCTGTCATGCTGATGGGACATGTTGCTTTCTACGTCTCAGACCATTAAAACCAGAATTTGTTAGCGAACGCAGCTAAGCAGGTCTCTGCACGTGTGACAGCACAGAGGGAGGTGGATGACCCCACAGGGACAGACAGCGTGGCATGCTGCGGATCAAAATAGCCATCAGAAATGCAGCAAGAGCAGTCATTGACGTCAGCTCAGCCATTGGAGACCAGGAGCCATATGGTCTCTTTGGCTGTCACCAGAAGCTGGTAAGCAGCCATGCGCTGCCTGGTGGGCAACTGCTCCGCAGCTAAGGCACAGTTTGTTGTGACAGACTAATGAGGACTGAGTGGGGTCCTTGGTGGGGTCCTCAGCACTGAGGAGCTGTCACAGTCCATATGGAAGAAACGTAACCCCAATTCGTGAGAGTGCTCTGAGTCCAAAAATAGTCTCCCGTAATGAGAGGTGAGCTTGCCTTCCTCAGCCCGCTGTGCAAGCACAGCTCCAGATGCTTTTCCCCTTCCCAACCATCTTGTCTGGTCTGAGCCCCAAAAAGCACCCTCTTTTCCAGACCCCATGTGCATCAGTCAATGGGAAATTGAAGCCACAAAAGCTTTTACTACTGTGCAAGCTGGGCAGTAAAATATAATCCTTAGCATTTGTCCCTTGGAGCAGAAGTAATGGGTAGGCTTTTTCTGGTTCTCAGGGTTGAAATATGACACTGTGGAAAGAACAACAGCAAGGTAAGATTAATCCAGGAATACTGGAGCGGGCAGTCTACCCCCTAACAAATCTTCTCTTCTTTTGTGCAAACACAGCTTATTTCTCAGATCTTCCAGCTGGAGTCTTGTAGTGTCCGTCCTGCTGACCCACAGCTGCAAATGGTAGCAGAGGAGTTGTGCAATCTCCCTCTTCCAGAGAGGACTCGTGAGATGTACATCCTGGGGGTCACTCTGTTACGACACTTAGACATTTACAATTTCTTATACAAGGTTAGTGCTGGATTTGTAGAGTGCTTTCTATAGCCTTTGCTGCGTGTAGTGGCTGAAAGGTCATAAAATATCATCACAGTGGCCAGAAGCTATGCTGATTTACAGAAGCCAAAGATCAGGCTTTGCTCACGCAGTAATTTTTATTGCATATCCATGCTGTGACAGTGTGGATATAAATGAGGAACCCAGCTGGTATAAACCAGCAAACCTCATTTAAAAGCACTGGACCTACTCTAAATTCCTCCCTATCTGCTAGTATCGCTTATGTGCTGTCACAACCTCTTGAACGTTCCCAGCTGAGTTCGGGCTTCCTAAAAATAAAGCACTGGGCTAAATTTTTGTTTATTCCTTGAAAAGGGAAGCCCTGGAAAAAGTCCTATACAGTATATTTTCCCAATCTAGTTGGTACTGCCAAGTTATTAAATGGTTTCAAATATCACGCGCACACACAACTATATAAACGGCACATAAAAATACCGTTCATGGAGGAGTGTGTATTGAATACATATCTTAAAATGCTACAGAAGTGATCCTGGGGAAAAATTGCTGTTAAATAAGAACACCAATCAATTTGGCTTAGGTCAAAAGTCACTTGTAGTGTTTGACATCTTCATTGTGTGAAATGCTACCTCTTAGATACTCAAATTATATTGGAGCCAACATCTGATAAGCATTTCCTAACTGTAGGTGTTTGGAAAAATGTGCTGTTCAGCATATACAATATTCAGGGGAGTGGTTGGCAAAAGCACTTGGGGATTTGGTAATATAAATCCCATTCATTTCCCATGGGACATCCGCTCCCTAAGCCTCCTAACAGTTTTGAAAATCCCACAGTCTTTCTCTTGGAATTAACACAATATGGGTGTGTACATCCATGTGCACACAGATTCCTGCTAATCATAATTCATTTCCTTCCTGCCTCTTGTAGATGTTTTTCCCTAAGGAGCTTCAGAAACCCATGGACAAGATGTTAGGCCTTCTGAAAAAAATGAAATATTTCAGACACCAGGTTGAGTCTGGAGTTGATCCATTGCTGCAAGCTATTAATTCACTGAAGAAGCTCCGGCAGTCTAGGAATGTGCCACTGTCTCAGGTACGTGTAGTCTGCATGTGCTTTGGAGGCCAAACACCACTGGAACAGTTTTCACAGGAATTTCTTACCCTAGAAGCTAAAGGTGTATTAATTCGTAGATTACTGATTCTCTTTTAAAGCAACAGTGTTCTAAAAATTTCTGTCAAACTTACGTTTTGCCTTCCTGGGAGAGCTTTGATTTGGAGCAGTGGGACCATCATGTGCTCATGACAGGGGGGGACACTAGGAACAAAAACACAGGGAATGAATAGCTGTTTTGAAGGAGGGTAGACTTTCAACAAAATACTGGAAGGGATCAGTTTGTGAAAACAACTGGAGAACTGCCCACTAAAGGCTCTCCAGAACCACCTATGTCAACAGCAAAAGTTTGCTGTAGCTTTAGCGTGCATGAGATCACATCTGAAGCCTCACGACTGCCTAAAACATCCAGTACAAACCCAGTCCTGCTCTGAGAGCTGCAGTAACTTCAGGTTGCACTAACCTCATCCGGCACTGGATTTTGAACCGTAGTCAGTGACAGCACAGATTGCAGGAATTGGTTTTGGTCATCACGTTGCCTTGCACATTGCAGAACCACGTGCAGTCATGGCCCAGATGGGGATAGGACGTGCATATCTGTGTGACCAGTTCTATCTTCTAACCCGAGGTCTAATGTTCAATATTCTAATTCTGGTAGTTTATTTTTTTCTTCTCAAAATGGGATGCTTTTAGCATGCAGGATTCACTGGCATTTTATCTTTTCTGCAGGCATTATTTAAAACAGACAACTTTAGGATAAGACATGGCACATTTAAGTCCATGTCAAAAGTTCTCTGCAACCAGGAGATCACGCCCCTGTTTTTTGAGTCCTTGCTTCCAGATTTTGGAGACCCTATAGGCAACAGTTCTTCTGTGGAGGATGTCTATGTTCAAAAGATGATGAGGAAATACGGGATTCCTCATGACTCAAGTAAGTCTGGCTTTTCCTTAAGGCAAAAACCTTTCGGAACCAAACTCCACTGTTTCCAGAGGGATCCAGTGCTGAGCTGTTCCCCCACATGTCTCTGGAGGGCTGTAAGTGCTCATGATTTGTGCTAGCTGAAGATCTGCACTGCTCTAATTATTGGTGTTTTATTTCCCTAAATGTTAAAAGGAGAACAGCCTATGTAGCAGAGAAGTGCTTGGTACTGCACTGTTTCCCGTTTGTTGATGATCCAGTCTCAGGGGCTGACAGGTCACTGCTTTTTCTTGATGTGTAGTTTGTCCAACTGTACTGACATTATTAGCTCCTCTGAGCTCACAAAACCCCGTTTAACCTTCAAGCAGAGAATCTTGGCTTGAACAACAAGGCTCTTGTCCTGAGTTCAGCAACAGGAGATCTTGGGGGTGGATTGCTTTTGTCAAGACACATTATATCAGTCAGTGAAGAGGGCTCTGAAGTCACTCACCGGACGCAGCAACAAACTGGGCAGATGGGAGAAAATACACTGGTAGCTTTCACATGTCTAGTCTGTTTGTGCTCTGTGCAATTTGTTTGCTTTTCGCCCCTTGCAGCACCGTTTTGCTTATCCTTTTACCTGGACCTGGTGAAGACCCCAACTGGAGCTTTAATCTGGTCTTTTTTAAAACCAATGGTGCTTGGCAAAATCCTTTATACACCAGACACCATAGAAACTCAAGCAATCATGAGAAAGGTACGTCTCTCTTTACAGTGCATCAGGATACACCCGCTCAAAAGGACTGTGATTTATCTAGCGCGGGCTTGCTTATTTGAGAAGCAGATGTCTATTTTCTGTCTGAGTATTAGTCAAATTATCATTTTCCAGTTACATTGCTGGTCACATGAGTAATCCTTTGGCATTGGATGAATCTTACTTTTAAATAATTTGCTGTTGGTTTAATATAATACAATTTTTAAGGCCTTCAATTTATGAAGTTTCACCTCCATATTTTCAGCCAATAGTAGAGAGATGTCTCCCAAGACAAATCCTATAACCAGTACTTGTTCACCAGCAGACCAATGGTAGAAGGAAACCTCACATCCAAGACATACTCCGAATGTCACATATGAGGTCATATTTTCAAATACTTGCATCCAAGTTCAGTGTTTTTAGGGATGTTTTGCCAAACAGTGTTATGGGTGCTAAGAAAAATCCTAAGGAAATCAAATTTTACCTTGGCTGATTTATTGACATATTTATTTTTCAAAAGCTTTAAGGTAGTGAATAAATGAATCTTCATGTGTTTTGGGCTTTTTTATAGTCTAATGCAACCCTGAAGCAGATGGCTGATCTAGCCCTGAAGTCCCAGGAGTGGTTGGACAAGTCTCCTGTCATCATGAATTCACTGACTAAGTTAAACGAGACAGTTCCGATGATCAAGGTATGAGATCCTACCTGCCCTCTCCCTCCTGTGGGAGGGAATTGGAGGGGTGGATTTCTTCACTGAAATAAACCGGGATTCCTTGGACCTCAGACACATCTTGGGTCAACTGGAGAAACTTTGTCAGGCTTTTTTTCCTGGACTTCACGGTTTCTATGCCTGCCTGCCTCTTCCTGTAACAGAAATATTCCTGATGCACCTTTCCATGCAAATTCTCTCTCCAAAATGATCTGTTTGTAACATGCTCTCTGACACTGGCCATGCTGAGGCCTGCTGGAAGGCTACGGTGAGCAGGGAACGCTCTTCAGTTTGTAAATTAACTTTCTGCTTGATGGAGTGATCCAGCCAGCCAAGACCAGGCAAGAAATGACTTTTTCAGAAAATGAAATGGTATCTATAATAAGAATGTAGCTCTGGGTTCACACATAAGAGCTGGAAGATGTCTTTGTACGTCAGTGAATGTAAATAAGATTTCTTTTTCCCCTCCTAAGGAGCCTAGCCTTGCTTGGATACAGAAAGCAGTAGGCTGTAATGTTTCACATACTTGCTTCCCATTCTCTGCAGTAAAAATTGTCTCCTTTTCTTACAAAACTGTGAAAATGAGGTCTCTGGAACTCTAAAGCATTACAAGTTAATTTCAGTGGCTGGAATTCATTGTAATTTCCACAGCTCTGAGAGAAAATCCAGAGTGGAATATGCAAAAGTGAAGTCAAATACTCTCTGCTGATTGCACTTATTATTGGAATAATGAACTACACAGCCAAACAAAAATCTGTCTACTGGTCTCCAGGCTAAATTTGAGCTCTGGCTGTCTTCACAGGACTTAAAACAGGCACAAATGAAACTTACCGCACTTCTAGAATAATAAAGTTTATCCACGATTTTTCCATGGGACTCTAGAGCCTGGTGGAGACTCAACTGCCATCTTCTCTTGATTCCAGGAAACACTGGCTTGGGTTCACAGGGCTCTGTAGGGCATTTCCATTGCTAACATGTCCCCATCCTGATATGCTGAGTGGAATGTGGAAGATCAGGAAAGGAGTAGGAGGGCACTAGTGTTCAGTGAAGGCTTAGATCTCTTATATTTTAGAAATACACTAAGTAAGCTCAAGGGGCCTTGTGATCAAACTGATGCTTTTTCTTTTTGCTTGTTGATAGAACACCCTGCAGAATCCCTTTGTGCAGGTTTTTATCAAGCTGATGGTGGACTTGGATGCAGCTGAGCTGCTGAGTCAAATAAACGAACTGGGTAAGTTGTTCCACATTTGCTGCCCTCGCCTCTGTACTTCAGGTCTGGGAGCTCCTGAGTCACCAAGTTGTAACCGTCCTCTGGTGTTGCTCTTCTCTGGCCAGTATTGGATGCTTTAGTGCAAAGCAATCTCAGCTGTGATTCACAAGTCTTGTGGTCTATGGGAAAAGGCTCTTAGAAAGGGCTTTTATGAAGAGATGTTTCTCCCGAGTGTTGAAGAGATGGTAGGATGGGAATCTCTGCAGCTGAATGTGGCCACTGGAGGACACTGTTTAGCCATAATTAGCACTTCAAATGAGCTACCTGGAACTCTCTTGGGGAACGTGGAAAGCTCGCTTGCATCACATCAGGGCTCAACTTAGAAGTTTTCCAGAGCAGAAAAGCAAAGAATCACATAAAGGTACCCAGGCTGGTGAAGCCAGAGGCGTCTTTACAGGAGATGCTTTGCTGGAATTTGCTGTTTTCTGGTGACCTTGCTTGGTCCTTTAAGGTGAGAGCTGCTGATCTGCACTGTGGGAATCATGAGCTGAGAGCAGTGGTGGACACATCCCCTGTTAGCGCACAGCACAGTGATCACAGTCCCTTCCTAGCTGGTCTTATTGTCCCTACCCTCTTTTTCAATGAGTGGCCATGCATGTCAACGTAGATCTGGGCTATGCCAGCAAAACCAACATAAACCAAGAGTGGTGATCTGTTGCAGTCAGAAGGATATTTGCATACTGCTCGTGATGACCCCTGTGTTATTTCATGAGTAGCATCTCCTGTCTTTTAATTCCCCATAAAATCATCATGCCTGCAGCAGCTGTTCCGTATTAGTTACACTGCATTATGCAGTCACCTTTTAAAGCAGCCAGGAAACAGCAGTGTCTTTATTAAACTCCATTACCAGGTTTACTACACACATCAGCACAACAGACATAGCTTTTCCTTGATGTGCTTGCATAAGGCACATTCTCCCATGAGACACAGCAGCCCAACAAATGAGTTTATTACATCGAAACCCATAAGATGTGGAATAAGGGGGCAGCTTCCTATATGAGTCTAAAACCTCAGCAGGTTAGTAGCAACTTCTGATACAGGATGGTTGTCACATCCCACTGCTGGCATCCTCCCAAAGGCAAACTCACAAGCATATTACAAATGATTAACATAAAAATTGGGTCAGCAACATGCCTTTGTTGAGCTGCAAAGTGCAGAAATGTATTTTGCACTTAGTATTTAGTATGATGAGTTTTTTTCTTCCTTTCTGGTGTCATTATTTGTATAAAGAGTGGAATGATGTATTGGATTTTTTTCCAATGTGTAGTGATGCTGCTGGTTTAATTTGTGGTTGTTTGTTTTTCTTGCTATTTTTTTTTCCAGATGATATTCGGCTGGAATTACAGAACAACGCTGACATTGTTGATCAGCTGAATACATTAGCTACCCTTGCTGTAAATGTGTCCTCCTGTGTCTCATTTAATCGCATTCAAGGAGTCAAAAACTTAGAGGAATTGGAAAAGGTGGCTAAAGAGCTCTTTCTGAAGAATGAGCTTTTTGCAAGTATGTGACAGTCTCAAGTTCCTTTGTAAATTAAAGGTAGCCTGGTGCAGGGTGGGAGTGCAGCATAAGAAGTTTGGCTTTCTACCAGCAACTGTTGTCACAGCTCCCATCACACAACAATCGATTTTAAGGTGATGTGTGGGACCTGCACGCCCAGACCTCCTTACTGCACGGTTTTACACTCTCCTTTGATACCTCCTCTTCTCCTATACCTTTGCTGTCTTTATAGAAAGCCTTTGGTCAACTGGTGGTTCCTCTTGGGTAATTCTCAGTTTGAAGAAGGTTTCACTGCTCTTAGGAGATCTTCATGACAACTGCCTTCTTTCAGGCCTCCATGGGAAATGATGCTTTAATGGAGAAAGGTGTTACAGAATCATAGAATCATTTAAGTTGGAAAAGACCTTTAAGTTCACCAAGTCCAAACATGAGACAGTTCAACTTATTAGAAGGTCATAAAGCTCTTGAGATGTTCCAGCCGTATTATATTGGGTCTCCTTGATCACACTTCTCACATTAGTAGATCAAATTGCAGTTTCAGATCAGACAACAGAGAGGCAGAGGGGAGTAGAGAATGGGAGCTTATATTAATTTGAATGAAATGTATCTTGATTTTTAAAGAACGCCCAGTATCTGCTCAATTAGGATTTATTATAAGTCCTTTGACCTGTTTAGTTTAATACCTCACAACTGAGGGGTAGATAGAAACTTTCTTTTCGTGGAATTTTGGACCTTAGTAATGTTTGTCTGTTGGCATAAAAACGATTTTCTTCCATGTTTGTCATTCATTCTATTGTATGCTTTATATAGAATAATCAGGAAATATATTTTGGAGAGAAAAGCTTCTGTGATATTGCCTTTACTGAGACATTTTAAAGGATAAAAAAAAAGTCCTGTCTGTCAAATTGTATCTACGGCATGCCATTTCCTAACAAGAACTTGCAAGCTCTTAAATTCTCAGCTTTGCAGGAATTTGTATGGGGACAAAAATGTGTGTATGGGTCATAAACGATTTACACCACCGTGCTCCTGAGGTTTTTGTGTCACAGCACCACTATGAGAGCTCTATTGATAGAGCATCTTTGAGCACATTCGTGAGAGGTGTGTGTACCGAGTGACACACCTAACGGATATCTGAGAGTCCATGTGAACAGCAAGATTTTTCCAAACACAGCTGGTTTTTTTAAGAGCCTTTGATTTTTCTGAATGCTCAGTGAGAAAAGATTTAAAGGCTCTGGGGATGTATTTTGCACCCAGAATCATTGGTCACATTTGAAAGTACGAGCAGTTGTGGTGATGTATAGTTTCCACTTCTAGAGCTTCGATAAGCAGCCTACCCATCTGAGTATTATTTGTGTGACAAAGAAATGAAAAGATGGATTGTAACGTATAAAAATGAGGATTGTAACGTATAAAAATGAGGAGTTCCCGCGTATCCATGCGTACTGCTCCTGTGCTGTCAATTCTGAAAGAAAGCCTTTTCCCTTTCTTTTCCAAGGTATTATTTTCAAGCTACCTTCAAGCCGTGGCAGCCCTGGTCAGTCAGTTTATGGGACTTTGGCCCTTCCTCCTGTGCTCAACTACACCATCCGGATGAGCAGCAGGATCACGCAAACCACCAACCGAATAAGGGAACGCATCTGGACGGTGGGCCCGCACAATTCCACCTCGCAGAGCCAAATTTACAGCCGGGCATTTATTTATATCCAGGACAGCATTGAAAGAGCCATTATTGAGTTGCAGACTGGCAAGAATCCAGAGGAAATAGCTGTTCAAGTCCAGGCCATGCCCTATCCCTGCTACAATAAGGACATGTAAGTTTGTGTGGCTTTTGTCTTCGTGCTCTGTGTAAGTTTGTCTTGCCTGACTGGTGGAGTTCACCAGCTACGCTGGTCGCCTTAATACCATGTTCACGTGGTGTAGAAATAATTTCATTTTGCAGGTTTTGGTGTTCTTTTGTTTTTTATTTTCCAAGGGTCTGGACAAAAGAGGGAATTTTGGATTCTAGTATAAGTGGGTTATGTTTAGTTTGCCTAAATTTTTGTTTCCAGTGCTCTGTATGTATATGAATTGTCAGGTTTTACAGCAGGTGGAGTTTGTTGCCCCTGTTTTACTACACATGGTGGAACTGAGACTGGTGTTGGCAGGTTAAATGAAAGTGTTGGCTTGTTCTGCAGATGTCTACATGCAGACAGTGCAGCAAAACTTAGAAAATGTATTTACTAGGGGGGAAAAAAAAAGAGTCTTGAGGTTTATGAGCTTTGTTCCTAGAGATTGCTATCCAGCTGTGGTATTTGTTGTTAATTCCAATGATTCTAGCTAATGTTCAGTGTACAGTGGATAGCTCTCAATACAGGTGCCTCTTAGATGGTTTAAGAAGGATAAGAGGGAAGACAAAATTGTACCGTTCATCTCTGCGATAATGAGGGAGGACAGAGAAGCTGTCGTTGTGCCGAGTTGCCAGGGTTAACAGCCTGTTACACAGAGCAGTGCAGCATGAACTCTGTGTGGACCTGAATAAGTTTTCAATGGTGAAGCAGATCAAAAAGTTTTGGATCATTTTCCTTCCCACTCATCTTGAGCCAGATCTGCAGCTAGTATAAACTGCATCTCTGCCAAATGCAATAGAGAGAAACGAATCTCTCACAGCTGAGGACCTGCCCCTCTGGCAAGGCAATCTTGGTCTGCGTTGGAAAGCTGGCAGCATCGTACTTCCTCAGAGTTACTACCCTGACCACAGCTGGTGGCCAAACTGAGCGGAAAACACACCAGGATTTCAGTGTCCGTCAGAAATCACTGAAGGGCGTTCAGCAAATAGTCTGGGTAGGCTGGAAGGTCACTCCGCCCTGACTGAGGGCCTCCCTGAACCAAAAGTATGGAGTAGACCTAGGAGCTCTTTCTGCTAAAAAGCCCATGTGTCTACTGCATGAGCTAAAATATTATGTGGGACATATAGCTATAGGAGCTATAGCATTCAAACCGAGTGTTGACTTCTAGCTGCAAATACATGGGTTATTGCTGTGAGATAGTTTTGTACAATGATTAACTGGCTGCCGGAGGCATTTACTACAGTGCTGTCTGCTCCTCTGCTTGTTCTTGGGCTGCTGAGAAAACTGCTCGCCTTTAGGTTTCCCTCCCCACCCCAGATTCAGAAGGACAGGAGTGTGCTCAATTATTAAAATACCTAAAGGCACTGGATCTTCATCCAGTAGAAGTCACCATAAAATGACTGCTTCCTGTTTTCTCATAGTTACCATCCAGTAGGGAAAAGGAGGGACTATATATGCCAGTACACAGAAAGTGGCGAGAAATGCTGTATTTTTAATAGCCTAGACATCATTCCCAAGGTGGTAGCCAAAGCCCCAAACAAGAAAGTAGTCATTGAGCAACTGAAATGCCTTTTTGTTGTTCTTTATAAATATGGCTTCATTTGCATAGAAGCATTTCCATGGTTTGTGGGAAATTTTGAGCTTCAAAAGTCAAAAAAATGTAAACCCAAATATAATCATTGTAGTTTCTTACTTTTGTTCTACATTAAACTTTTCTCAGAAATAACACTGGTGACTTTTGTTTAAGCCAGTTTAGCAATGAGAGAGGAGAGCATAAGCCCTGCAGATAGAATGAGATGGATCTCCAGCTACAAGAACTTGCATTCCATCACAAAAGGAGAAATTTACTGTTGGGCATTGCTGTCTTTTTTTTCTGCCCGCATTTGGCACAGGAAGAAGGTTTTCACTAAAGTGAAGCCCAGGTTGTAGACCTCGATCTGTAACCCTTGACTTGTGGGTTCCCTCTGAGGGGAAGAAACTATATCCAGACAACTCAAGCAACAGGAAAAATGATCTGCTAACAAAATTTGACCATTATACCTATTAACAGAACTGGGAATTAGAACTGGCTGCTGGGATGTTTCAAAATGGGATGCATGCCATCAGGGAGCCAGGAGATGCTGCTGCTGCCCATGGTGGTTCCTGCTCCTGCCAGGGGTGCTGCTGAGCAAAACTCCCAGAATACATCTGGAAATCCCTCTCTGATTTTTTTTTTTTTCAAAGGAGAAAAGATTTTGAACAGTCAGGAGTTTTATGAATAGAAAATCCAATGCAATGGCAAAATGGCCTTTTTTTGTAATTATTAATTATACTCCACCTTTTGAAATATAAGCATGTCTTTTCTTGTGCCAAAGTATTATTCTGAAAAATATATTCTGTATAAAGCATTAATCCCCAGAACATTTTGCATTCAGCTAAAGCCTGCATTTGCCTTTTACAGGTTTTTAACCAGCGTGACCTACTCTCTTCCATTTGCTCTGATGGCTGCCTGGGTGCTGTTTATAGCTGATTTTGTTAAAACACTTGTTCAAGAGAAAGATCTGAGGCTTTATGAGGTACGGTAAAACTTCCTGGGGCGTGCAAAATTATAAACAGATTTTCCTTATTAGTGGGTAGTATGTCTTGTGTGCAATATTAAATGGAGAGAAGCAAGCATTAAGGAAAATAATATTCCAAATACCTATTGTTTGACCTGCAGCGTCTGAATTCTGACATTGTAACCAAGCTCAAAACCATAGAAATGCAGGGCATTTGCCCTTCAAGGGGTGAGAATACTGCTTTGCAGTTCTGAGTGCTGGAAATGTGGGGACCTCACAAAGTTGCAAGTTTTCTAAAGATTTAAAGCTCTCTGAAAATTGACTTTGAGTCATACCTACTGGGGACAAAGACATGAAAAGTGACTTATTTCCTGTCCTTAAAGTTATTATACTTAATATTTCAGAAGGTGCTACATATTACATCAACTCCTCTGAAATGAAGTTCTTCATTCAGGTTGCTTGCTGGAAAAGAAATGACATTGAGACATAGGGAATTTATTAAATTAACTCAGGTTTTCAGTGTGAACACCATCAACAGAGAGGAGCGGTAAAGAACTTTTGTAAAACTAAGCTTCAGCAAGCAACAAAAGCTTGAACAGATTTGTTTTTTATCCGATACCATGGAAACAAATACTGATTCACTGAAAACTTCTCCAAGACAGGAGTCTCTATGAACTGTGATGAGATTGAAAATGAGTGAACCCCAGTGACTAGCTAGTCTCACTCTAGTTTAGGGAACCCAGTTTCACCATCTCTAAGAACTAGGGTGTCAGTAACCATTTTAGGTGTGTAATAATCTACAACAAGACACCAGCACCTGTAGTTTCTTTTGCTTCTATCAGTGCAAATTTCCAGTTTTGCACAAGTCTTGTGGACTAGATCATTAGCTAATATAAATTCATATTGCTTCCTTGTAACCATTGTAATTTAGGTCTTATGTGTTGTCTTGGAGTTGTGTGAAAAATAGTTTGATTTCAAAGATACGCTGAAGCCATGAGATCAATTAGCATTAGCTGGTTTAGTTTTCTTTTCTGGTCCCTATGTCTATTTGCGTTATTCCCTTTTCCTTCCCATTGGGGGAGGGAAAGGAGTTAGAGAGCATCTGTCAGCACGTAGTGGCCAGCCCAGCCCTAAACCTCAATACAATAATTTAAAAAAAAACCAAAATGCTTTGGAAAACTTACAAATCTAAAGCCAGAAGTTGCTTCAGAGCTTGTGGGCTGCGGTTCTTCATACTTGCGGATCCTGTCTGTGTTGTTCTTTTGCAATAGACTATTTTGCTAGGCTAGGGTGTTCCAAAAATGTTAGCAAATGGTTTCTCCCTGGTTATCAACATAAAGTATGCTAAAGCATGAAAGAGCATGGTTTGGTTGCATGCTTTTTCCAGAAACTGCAAAACCCCCAAAATATCAGCAGAAAGATCTCTTAAAAAAATCTTTTGTCATTTGTGATTTTTTTTCCCCCTTTCTCTCTGTAGTACATGAAAATGATGGGTGTTAATGCCAGCAGCCATTTCATCGCCTGGTTCATAGAGTGTGCCATCTTCCTTCTAATTACTGTCACCTTCCTCATCATTGTTCTAAAAGTGGGTGACATCCTTCCCAAAACAAACACAGCACTCCTGTTCCTGTACCTTATGGACTACAGCCTGTCTATCATAGCCATGAGCTACTTCATCAGTGTTTTCTTCAATAATACCAACATAGCAGCCTTGGTGGGCAGTCTTGTCTACATCCTCACCTTCTTCCCCTTCATCGTGTTGCTTGTCATTGAGAATCATTTGAGCTTCTCTGTGAAGACTCTGCTGGTAAGTTCTGTTTTTCAGTGGCAGGGACAGTATGTGTGGAACTGGACATTCAACCTTCAGAAAACTTCAGCTCTTGTTATAGCTTGTGTCACAAATGTACATCAGCTGGGTGCCTTTCTAAATTCCATCCGTGGATGCTGAGAGGTACAACAGCATGACAGGAGAATTGGCCATGGTCTGTTTGAGGGAGACCTGCAATTGGTTGTGTCCCATGACTGAAAGCAACAGTTATGGAATTTCGTTGAGTTCCCACCTGCTAGCCATGTTTCTCACCAAGGACAGAAATAGGTGGGTATTAGGTTCCAGAAGTCAGCCAGTATTTCAAAAGCCTAAAGTAATGCCCTGGATAAGGGACGAAGCTGTGTCCTGGGTATTGAAGCGAAAGGCAGGCAGGCTCTAAGAAGACATTACAGCCCATCACCAGAAGTGTCAACCATCATAAGCCTGGTCCAGTGCTCTTTGTGACTGCTGGAGAAAGATTTGCCTGCCCAGTGGGCCAAACCAATGAGATACTTGATTGGTTGACTGACTTGGTTTCTCTTTGAGACTAGTTCCTAAGTTCTTTGTTTTCATTTTTGTTTGTTCCACAGAGTCTGTTGTCTCCAACTGCGTTCAGTTATGCAAGTCAGTACATTGCTCGATATGAGGCACAGGGCATAGGTATGTTTATCGTAGACAAAACTAGGCTTTGAGCTCTCATGGTTGTGACATTTTATTAACTAATACGGAGTCTATTTGTATTTCTAAATTCCTTTCTGCAGGTCTGCAGTGGGACAACATGTATAAGTCCCCAATGATTGGAGACAACACTTCCTTTGGCTGGATGTGCTGGCTCATTCTGATAGACTCTTTCATTTACTTTATCCTGGGATGGTACATAAGGAATGTTTTCCCAGGTAAGGATAAAGCATTGAGGCTGGCATTGTACCAGCTTCTGGAAAACAGTGAATACAACACTGGCCGATTCGGTGGTTCAGGCAGTAAGAGTCTGCACACACGATACCTCTGTTTCTAGATCAAAGGGAGCATCACTTTTTAGCTGTCTGAGAGTAGTAATGAAACTGAGACAGAGCAAAGCAAGGGAGAATTAGGTTCCTGTTTATTGCATAGGAAGGTGGTTCTTCTGAAGAAGCTGAAGCCAAGGACATGGGAGGATGTGTTTGCAGTCTGCTCAGTGGAGATGAGAACAGAGCATGTTAGCCTGCATTTGTCAGTTGAGTGATTTTGTGTTGCGTTACTTATATCATTTGATTTCAAAAAGTAGTTCCTGCCTTGGGTAAGAGCCAATGCGTTTGTCTTTTGCTGTTCTTCCCCACCTAATGAAGCAGTCCACTGGCATACGGAAATCTACCCAGTGGAAAATGTAAGTACTCCTGCCCTCCAGCTATGAAGTTAGTCAGAATAACAAATTAGTGAACACTTGCTGTTGTGTGTGTCGGGCAAATTCTCCACCAAGTATCAGTAGTACATGAGCACATCAAGAGGGGAGAGATCTCTGTGGAGTTTATTTTTGCTATTCTGATGGCACCCCAATAGTGATACTTCCTCAGAAGCAGCAACCTGAATGAGATTCCTCTTCTCCTTGCAGGGAGATACGGTATGGCTGCTCCCTGGTATTTCCCGTTGCTTCCATCTTACTGGATTGAATACAATAGTTACCTCCCCTTCTGGAATGAGAAACGAAGCGGCCTTCTCTTCACCAAGCTGATGCTGAGGAAAGAAGCCACCCTGAACAATAAGATATGTATGTGAATGTTAGATGGGGTAGCAATACTAACTTATGTTTTAGGTAAACAAAGCTAAGTTTGTAAAGGGGCACCATCCTCGAAAAGCACGTTTCTGTATTGATCCTTATTTTGTAGCACGAGAAAAAATGGAAGCTGTTACTTGCCTGAATGGAGATTTGGCTTTTAAATTATATTTGCTCTTCCTATTTGGTGTGGAAATCCAGTACTGATATTCACGTACATATTTATGTTTATTGGAGTTGGGCAGTTACATTAGATGCATGTGTCTCACTTTGCAATGCTCTGTGTAGAAATATGCTTTTGCTTGTGCAAGCAAATACAGGTTTCCACTAGGCAAAAGGGATGTGTGCTTTTTTGTTCATCTCTTTAAATATTTAGCCTGTAAAATACTGTGTGATCACACAGAAAAGCTTGCTGATTCTACCTAGCTGAAAATAATTCAGTAGATTTGCTGTATGTCCTCTAATTTTCTGTGCTTGCTTCATATAAATTAAGTTAGGTGCTCTGAAACATCTAAATATGAGACCTTTTCAAAAGTGATTAATGCTTATTGTCAGGAGTTATTAGAAGCTGCAGAAGTAAAAAGGAGAAATCCCAGAGAGCTCAAGATGATACAGATCCTGTGAAATGCTCTCTCCATTCCTTGCTGAAAGGCACCTACTTATGCTGTGGTTTGCTTTTAAAAGCCCTGCTTATCTCTGAAGGGAGGAGAGCAGCACAAACACCTGCTGCAGTGCAGCAGCTGTCCTCTGACCCTTCCCTTTGCTGTCAAAGGTGCCGCCCCACCTCACCTGGAACCCGAGCCCACTGACCTCACCTTGGGAGTCTCCCTGCGCAGCATTACAAAGGTTTATGGATCCAAAGCTGCAGTGGACAACCTCAGCCTCAACTTCTATGAAGGGAATATCACTTCCCTGCTAGGACACAACGGAGCTGGGAAAACTACGACCATGTGCGTATCCTTCAAAGCTGCTTTTTTTAATACTGTGGAGCATGACTGGGTGAAGGTGAGAGCAAGTGGGGCTGTGCAGTGTTGGGAGACTGAATAAGTTACTTTATTAGGCTAAATCTCTTATGTAGTTTTATCTTGCTCATGGATGACCTCAGCAATGCCTTCATCTGTTACAATTAAAGGCTCTTTTCTGCTTAGGAACATGCTTTTTGATCTGGTAGGATACCTGTAATACGCAGCACAGCGACTATTCTCCGGTTTTGTTCCACGATGCTTTGGTACCTGGGGTTAGGTTATTCTGAAAGCCTTGGGTAGCGTGTGCACACACCAAAGCTGAAGTGATATTAGCGAGGAAGCTTAATAAAGGTATAATTCAACTGCTCAAACTCATGTGTTGGCTGGGCTGGAATGGCAGCGGGTTAATACGTTGGCCTTTCAGCCCTTCCAGTCTTGCTGTTTATAAATTATTATTTGGATTGTTGGAAAGCAGCACTAAAACAGACGTGTAGAACTTGATTTCTCCACTGATATATATGTGCATTGCTCTGAAAGCAACATTAAGCTGATAAATAGAAGCCTCAGAAGAGCTAAAAACAGTAAGACAGATGTGTGCTTCATCTTGGCTTATTATCAATTCATCTCATAGCCTGTTTGCAAAGTGTAGGCAAAGGCGATATGCAGAAAAGTATAATAGCTTCTTGAAACTTAGTGCAGACTTCAAATTCTGTGTAAGGCCACAGGTTACTTCTTTCCTTTTTAATGATGATTAAAAGTCCCAGGAGAAGGGGAAGCTCTGGAAAGTTGAAGGGTGGTCTGACATACATCTTCTCCCTTTAGTCCCTGCAGGACAGCACCAAAAGTGACCTATATATGTTGTGCAAGTAGCTATTCTGAGCAGAGAGTGTTTGACTCGGGTGTGAAGGATATTGCTAGGTCAGTAATTATTCGCTTGAGCCAGATGAAAGTACTGCCAACTGTGAGGTGCCTCATCTGGCAGTCCTCTCCCATTTCTTGTTAATAATGGCACAGAAGTCAGGTTTCCATGCTCTGATGTGGTTAGTAAGACAGAGATGTGGTTTTCAACCTCTGTTGTGGTTAGCAGTATGAAACTGTCTGGATACTGCAGACAAACCTCAAAGAATGTAGAGTAACTGCATTATATGAATTTCCAGTGATTAAATTGGAAGTCAAGGGTATTCATGAGTATTGATGCATGGGGTACGCAATGGGTCTGATGTATGGGGTCTGACTTAGGGAGAGAAGGGCTGAAGCAGGTAAAAGAATATGTGAAAAGTAGCCAGAGTTCAGTGTGTGAGCTTGGTATTTGCTCTCACGTTCCCACAGAGGGGTACCGGGATGTGCTTTGATGGTAACTGGGCACTGCTCTGCCGAAGCACAGCCGGACAGCAGAAGGAAGAGTGGCCAGTGATCTCTGGCTGGAAGAAGTGTGATGGCCATGTATGGAAACTTTGAAAGTGATGATAGGTACGGGATCATGTGAAAAAATTACCTTTGGCTTTCTCCTTTTTCTAACTTCTCTTCTTATTAATTCTTTCCTTCCAGATCTATTTTGACTGGGTTGTTCCCTACGTCATCAGGTACTATCTTTGTGTACGGCAAAGACATCAGAACTGACCAGGAAGTTATCAGGAAGAACATGGGGGTGTGTATGCAGCACAACGTGCTCTTTAACTATCTCACCACAAAGGAACACCTGCTGCTCTACGGGTACATCAAAGTCCCTCACTGGAGTAAACAGGAGCTCTACCGAGAAGTGAAGAGGTATGAAAATAGCAGGGTTGGGGAAGAGAGAGAGAGCTGTCAAAATCATTGTGTGGTAGTGCCATTGCCACGGAAAAGCTCAAATGAATGGTTCTGAGGACCGTTGCAGATCAAGCATAGATTTCAAGTAAGGCTGTAGTCTGACTAGAGGAATATATTGATATCTGTGGCTGTAAGAAAACAACATCTCCAGAGGGTTTACAAGCTTCTGTGGCAATTCTTTGGAGGTGAATTTATATAGGCCTAAGGGTCTAGTACTTGCTGCTTTACAAGTTTCCCCAGAAAGAGATTTAATCAACTAGTCAGAAAGATGATGTTGGCTTTATTAGTTCTGCAGAGAAGTGAAGCAGCCAGAACATCCCAGGGAGTTTGGATCTTGGTGTTCTCAGTTGATGAGGTTGAGCCTTTAACCTTGACTTGTCAAATGGAAACTTTGAAAACATGCTAAAAAAATATTTTTAAATTAAAATCCCAGTCACTGAGCCACAGGGTGAATCATTTCCCTGCACTGTGACGGTTCAGGAGAGCAGTCCATACTTGAGCAGTTTTTCATTTGCAGTTATGCTGGGTCTTTAGGTATTTTCTGATCCCCTGCTTTTAAAAGATGCCTGAAGGACAATCTTTAGGGTTTGTTTTTGCTTTGTTTTCAAGTACTTTGAAAGAGACTGGACTGTACAGCCATCGTCACAAGCTAGCTGGCTCCTTGTCCGGGGGGATGAAGAGGAAGTTATCTATAGCTATTGCTCTCCTGGGTGGATCAAGGGTGGTGATTCTAGATGAACCAACCACAGGAGTGGATCCATGCTCTCGGAGAAGTATTTGGGAAATTATCTCCAAGAATAAAAAAGGTACCGTGATGAGATGAGATGCTGCCCAGTGGCAGAGGGGATTTGTGTCGCTTTTGGAAACCATGGAGAATAAATTGTGGGAGGCTGGGATTTTGGAGGCCCTCTGGGTGCATGCTGGTTGGTTTCTGTAAATTTAAAGTGTTATTTGAAAGGTAACTTTGCCAGGATGCCCAATTTACAATACAGTAACTTTCAGCTTCTCTCTAACATTGCCTTTCATCCAATTTCATTAATAATTACAAAAAAGCACAGTCGATTTTCACCTGTGTCCCCTCATTCAGCACAGTTTTCACCTGTCTCGTGTGTTTATTCTGTGGTGGCTGACATCAGCTTTGTGTTTCCCAGGGAGAACCATCATTCTCTCAACACATCACTTGGATGAAGCAGAAGTTCTGAGTGACCGAATTGCCTTCCTAGAGCACGGAGGGCTCAAATGCTGTGGTTCACCATTCTACCTCAAGGAAACATTTGGTGATGGATACCACCTGACACTCACAAAAAAGAAGGTTTGTGTCTGAGTTGGTCCTAAATTTTCCAGCATCTTGGGTAGGAAACTGAATCAGTCATATGACAGGAAGGAAGGAGGCATGTCATAGTGTCCCACAGAAATGAAGCATGCTGCAGAAGGCTCATCTCAGCCCTAGATGTTATCAGTGGAATGGTTGGTCCAGTAAAATTTTATTTTCATGTAATAATTTTTTTACACAACCAGGTGAAAATGAGATGTGATTTGAGCTGAAACCCTAGGGTTTGGATACACAGGTTCAAGAATATAATGGACTGTTTCCTCAGGCTGACCATTTATTCATACGCATGAACCACTGAGATACCTGTGTTACAAGACATCCTGTTGTTCAGCTTGCTCTGCCCGTCCCATGCTGGAATTTATGTGCTTTTTTATAAATAAGTTTCCTTTAGAAAGACATCCCATATGGAGAATTCCCCAAAACGCAGGATTCTTAGCTTCAGCCCCTCTACACAAAGCCAAGCAGCTCTAACACACAGGGCAGAGGTCTGAACTTGAGCCTCCTGTATGCCAGGTACATGATGCAGTCCTTTTTGTCCTCTGTTCCCCGCTGGGCCTTAGCCACCTTTTGTGTCCCATGGGCATGGTGACCACAGCAGGCACTGCTAGGGGCAGAGGCAGAGATTCTCCTATTTGGGAGCCTGTGTGGAGCTGAGCTACAGCTCTCGGCAGCTTCAGCTCAGAGGGGGGCCATCAAGGCTTGTTTGGGGATGCAGGCACATACGTTTTCAGGAACTGCATGACAGATCCAAGGTCAGTAGTGGTATGAGAGAACTTTGGGGATCTGGATGTGACCCCACTGCTTCTTGGTGAGAGATACTGACAGAATGTGTGGCCCCCACTTTCTTCAAAACAGGAGGAGGCTCTCCAATGGGGCCACCTGACCAGCCTCTGTAGCCCTCAGAAAAGTGGAATGTCAATGCTCTGTTTTATTGAAAAAGAACAAGGTTTCCTTGATGGTTCAAGGCAAGGCTGAGTGTAGAGTGTGAGTTCTGGAGTTCAGAGAAATAAAGAAGACGGGGACCTTGCCAGCCCTCAGTGACCACAGAGTGTTTTCCTCCTTTTTCAGAACATGATAGAGGAGTGTGACACCACAGCAGTGACCTCCTTGATCCAGTCACATCTCCCAGAGGCTTATCTCAAGGAGGATATTGGTGGAGAGCTCGTGTACGTGCTTCCCCCCTTCAAGTCCACAGTCTCAGGGGCCTACCAGGCGCTTCTCAGAGCCCTCGATACCAGCTTGAATGATCTCCACCTTGGTTGCTACGGGATTTCAAACACAACCGTGGAAGAGGTATGAGCTCAGGATCTGCTCGATTTAATGAAATGTTATGGAGATTAACTTCACAGCACTGGGTAGCTCTGCTATCTGGGCTGGATGGTGGCATGTTTTGGATTTGAGAGTTGCAGGCAGGGGAAGAAGTGGTTTGGTTGTTCACTGAGTTACACTTACAGACATATGAATGTGTAGATGTATTCATAAATCTATACGTATTCTAATGCACAAAATGTACAACTGTCTCGCCTTACTGACAGATCTTTGACATTTTACCCAGAAAATGGGATACTGGAGTTAGATTAAGGAGAGAGGGCAATAACGTGTTGCTTTTTGAACTGTTCTGGTCTCCACAAATCTGGGTTTGTCTAGAGATGCAGTCAGGAGGGAGGGAGTTCGCAAACCATCTTAGATGATAGACGTGGGCATGGATGCTGTATTGTACGAGTGTGTCACCTGGTGCATCTTGGAGTAACATGGACACTTTTCTGCCCGTGGAGAGCCCCTAGTGCAATAAATACATTTAGTTGTACCAGAAACATAAAGTAAATTATAAACAGTGATGACTCTTGCCTT